CGCAATACGTTTCTTGTTATCGTTGGCTATATCGCCAGACATATTTTCGTTGACGTTCGCTACAAAGCGGTACATGTGTACATTTTCCTATACTGAACAAAATACGAATGTCTCCCAATATTCCCATGTGAGTTGTTACAATATTTCTCAAAGTAGTTTTGGAGTTTAATATTCAATTAACATATTTGGAGCTGAAATTTTTTGATTTGTATGAGGTAGTGGTCGATTATTTTTGGGAATTTGCACATTAATTTTGTTTGAAGTAATTTTAATATTCCTAAAGATATCGACCTATTAGCTGTTTAGATACTTTTATTGTTTTTATTGTTTGGAAGATTTTGGACGTTCTTTAAAAAAGAGAAGAAAGGCATTATTAGAGAAGCATTTTAAAGGATTTCACTAGCTTAAAAAACCCTCCAAAAAGTGTTCATCAAGGATTCTTTAGAGACCATTTAAAGATATTGGTGTGTAAAACAACGTCAGGTGGACGTTCTTTAGGTTGGAATAATGCCGAAGATAAGGACGGACCCTCCTGTATGTGTAATATTTTAAAAATTACTTATTTTAAAATTACGCGTTGGAATGGTCGAGCGCATTTAAGTACTATCTCGTCGTTTTGTGATAAGAAATGTCATTGGGCCTAATTAAATTGTGCATTAATTTTAGCGTAAAGTAAGTTTACGGAAGAAGTAACGTTGTTGTCTAAAAAACAATTTACAGCGAGACATTGTTAGAAGTTTCTTTGGCGTAATTAAAGTCAAAGTGGTTTTCCTTTTGAACAGCCATCGCATTGAAAATTACTAATTGTGTCAATTAAGCAAGTGTGTTTTTCCATATTAAGAGACTATTGTTTGAAAAACTGTAAGTGATTTTAAGACTTTCTTTGTTTATTTGTTCGACCACCTGCGTGTGGGGTGAATGTAACGGGCTTGTGCCCCTCCCTTCCTTTAGGTGTTTCTTGATTATTTTTTGCGTATGAGTTTTAAATAAATGTTTTTGTCAATCAATTAATTTTGTGTTTATTGAATCCATTTTACGATCCAGATAGAGGTTTCATGTTCAGATTTTCTTTTATTTGTGCCATAATTTACCGCAGGTGTGTAATTGATTTCTTCAGAATTTACGGAAATACATTGAGGCCGAGTCTCTTAAATTATTAATTTCGAGCCATTATTCGGATTTTGATTTGTTGCAAATGCCGGAGATGTACGAGGAGAGACCATAAAAATTCGTACGCCATTGCACACAGCATTATTATTTAGCGCCCAACGTGGGGCCACAGTAATATACCTCCTAAGAAGTTCTTCACAGTGGAGCAAGTGATGCCGTATGAATAAGGGTTATTTGTGTTTTACATATGACGTTGTACGGTTATTATTTCTAATGCCTCCGATGGTTGCAAGGATTGCGAAATCTGTGAATTTTTGAACATGTCAAGCCAAGGAAGGAAACGAGATCCTATAAGCTTGTCTAAGGTGTAATTTATTATGTTTAATGTATATTAACATTTTTTCTCTTAAAAAACAAGCAATCCTTTAGACTGAAATAATACCGAAGATAATAACGAGTCACCCTGTATATGCGAACGTTTCAATTTAATTCAAATTTAGACCATTTCATTATGAATAAGCACAGAATTAATTTCATCGGAATGTTGTTATTTTTTCCATTTTAGAATTGATTTTAATTTCTCGTTTAAATGTTATCATTCGTGTCAGTTTGTTTATTTAAATTGTAAAATGTGAAAATTGCGTCGTTTAAAATTAAGAAACATGCATTTAAGAGTTATCTGGTCGTGTGCGATAAAGTTCTTGTTATCGTGCATGTTAATAGATTTCAAGACGTACGTGCGTTTGGCACTGATATCAAAGATGCAGGCGCACGATTTGTTTTGCACGTGATTTTGTTATGGAAGAACGTTCAGTACGGGCGTTACATTTGAATTTGACGGAAGTAGGAGTATGATGGTTTAGTGGAGGGGGTGTTATTTTAAATAAAAAAAATAAGGTAAAAACGCGGCTGTTGATCTAGCGACGGATAAACAGTATATGTACGCTAATTTTGTCAAGTAATTGGCCTTTTTGGATATTTGAAGATGCAGTTTCGTCGCAATCAGAATAATCTGTGTCCGGTTACGGAAGAAAAATACTTGATTTTCGAAAAGCAAGTGTAGTCCATAACGAAACCGTTTTGAACGTTATCTTATTAACGAATAATGAAAGGTTAAAGTGTTTCCCGTCTGAACAGTCATATGAGCTCGAGAGATTGAGTTCAGTGTGAAACGAAGTTTCCTGATGCTGTCAACGAGTGTTTTGGGGAATTTTTCGAAAGAAAAAAAATTCCTCTTATGTAACGGTCTTGTCCGTCTGTCTGACTGTTCCTCGTCTACCTCGAAAATGAAAAGAGACCGCGATTTCATACCTTCGGGATCAAGTTCTATTGAATATGGGCCGGATTAAAAGTCTGGTTTCCGAATGCGAGCTGAATTGCAAAAAAATTCCCCTACTGAAAATCGTATGCGATTGTTCGTATCTTGTTGTGTTAGTGTAAATCATTGTTACGACCAGATTACTAATTATTAAAAAAATTGTAAGTAAGTAAGTTATTCCTTGTTAATTTATGATCGAACACCTACGTGTGGGGTAAAAATACGAATGGGCTTTATTTCAAGTTTTTCTTGATGATTTTCTGCGTATGTGTTTCGGAATAAATTTTTTTGCCATTGTCAGTCAATTAATTTGGTGTTTATTTCATTCACTGTACGACCCAGATAGAGTTCTCATGTTCAGATTTTCCTATGCAAAATAGTAATTATTACAGAATGAAATTATTGTTATGCAATATTGTATTTTTGTAATTAGGCTGCTTAGTTAAAACTACAAAAATATACAGGGCTATTGAAGATATTGAAATTATGTTTTGTTGGACAGTCCTTGTGTGTTGAATTCAATCAGTGACTACATTTTAGTCGATACAGATAAACACTAAAAATACTAAAATTTCATTTGAA